TAATTTAGCAATGAAAGACTAGAGGGAAGGCAACTAGTCATCAACACCCACCGCCATCTCTTGGGCTACTCTTTTACCAACGAATAGTGGAATTGACTGTCACATTATAACGCCCCCACGGCTGAAATGGCGAGCATGTTTGGTGGGACGAGGATTCGAACCCACGACGCTCAGATTGCGAGTCAAGCGCCTTTGTGTAGCTTTGCGCGAAATTCAAAACAAAAACAAAAAGGCGTTTGGGACACTATTTACAATAAGTGAACGTGTCGGTGGTCCTTGGTCACTGTGCTTTGTTGAAATTATGAGCTCGAATCATAAGAATATTATTTTGTTGTGTGTACCTTGGTATTTTACTCCTGACAACATATCTCGCATAGATGATATCTATTTAGTTTGTTTCTCATAGCTCTCTTTAATGACATATTGTTCATAAGCAAAGGGACCAACATTCGTGAGTGAAAGCAACACGACTCCACCATGCAATTCCAACATGGCCAACTTTAACACCAGAAAAATCGAAAACTGTCTTTGGTCTGTCCATATCACTGCTTGAGACCTGCAAAAAGGTATCTTTGTACCACATCCCATGTAAATTGGTCAAAATATGGCTGAATAATTTACCCCAAATTATGCTTTTTTTGTGAGCTCTGACCCCATAAAAATACTCTATTTAGGCAGATCCAACGTTTTTTGTGAGCTCTGACCCCATAAAAATACTCTATTTAGGCAGATCCAACGTTTTTTTGTGAGCTCTGACCCCATAAAAATACTCTATTTAGGCAGATCCAACGTTTTTTGCAAGTCATTGTGTTGGGTGTATGAAAAATTTATATTTGTGCCAATTTTCATCATGATTGTTGTAAATATGGCCACATAGGAACACAAAATATAGAATGTTTGGGTTCTTTGACCTTTGACCCCATAAAAGTTTTAAAAAGCCCTAAATAAAAAATAAAATAAAAATATGACAGGCTATATTGGACCGAGGTATAACCCTACCAAACTGTTTAGTCAATCCACTGAGAAATTATTGTTTGTTTGTTTGTTTTGAATTTCGTGCAAAGCTACACGAGGGCTATCTGCGCTAGCCGTCCCTAATTTAGCAGTGTAAGACTAGAGGGAAGGCAGCTAGTCATCACCACCCACCGCCAACTCTTGGGGCTACTCTTTTACCAACGAATAGTGGGATTGACCGTCACATTACAACGCCTCCACGGCTGAAAGGGCGAGCATGTTTGGTGTGACGGGGATTCGAACCCGCAACCCTCAGATTGCGAGTCGAGCGCCCTAACCACCTGGCTATGCTGGGAAATGAAGGAATGGCGGGCGATTGAAAAGTGTTTGGAAGAAAAAGAAAGAAATAAGAAACAGCAGAAAAATTGTCTCTCTCGGCGGAGACATAACAAAAAATAAGTTCGTTATTCCTTATTATTTTGCCACTTATTTCTGAGAAAACGAACTTCTGTGGTCTCATTCTCTTTTTATAGAATAGCGAAACACTCAAAATTAATATTTATTTATTATCTCATTGTATTTATTCTCTGATGATGGATGGCTATTCACATATTTTAACTATCACTGAGAGTTTTAATTCCAACAAAATGTTGAAGTAGTGAATTGTACAAGCGGTCTGGACGTTCCTTCATTCGTTGTTCTGCATTAAATGTTAAACTGTGTGCAATAATCATAATGCCGCATTAGCAAGTCTTGAAAGCGGCTACTTGTTAATTAAGCGACTAACTTTCTTGAGATCATTTCATCTAGCTGTTAGAGTTCTCGAACAGTATCAGCCTCGAGGCATCATTAAATTAACCTAATAACGAAACGACTTTTTTTAGCTATGTGCTTGTGAATATATCTTTCGCAATCCACCTCGACTACCAAAACAAAATGTAAACTTACTTTTCGAAAGAAGGGGTAATTCTGAGTATTAACTTTAAATATAAAGATATGATTTCAATATCAGACCTGAATTACATACATATGGAAAGATATGTTAAACCAATCTATGCGTGGACTATTATTTGACACGTTAAGCCTAATTTATTACAATACCGTGCTCTGTATCAGCAGACGTTTTTCGGAAACTCCAATGCAGTATCAAGAAAATAATAGTTTGAATAGTTCGTTATTCAATTGATAAAAGTTAATTTTACAGAACCAGTTGTAAGCATTTATCATGTACGTTATATATCCATTATGTAATGAATAATTCAACGAAGACATGCTGAAAATCTTGAATGATTTTATCATTAGGACGTGTTATAGTATACGAATGAGCGTTTGGTTAAAATTTTGCAAGTCACACACATTAACCCTGTACGGAGGAGAAGAAAAAATGCGTGTAAGAGATGATATTGCAAGTCACAAACATTAACCCTGTATGGAGGAGAAGAAAAAATGCGTGTAAGAGATGATATTATTTTTATGCAAAGTAGCTTTAGTTATTTTTTTCATTTCTTGTAAAGAATAAGTATTTAAGATACTGAGAAACATGAAACAAAATCCTTGACGATTTGCATGATGTAATGATAAGTTTTATAGTGCGCTATTAAACATAACATTGACTATTAGATTGAAAGTTTAATTTTATTTAGTTCGAAATGATAGTCGGCCTTCTTAAATGATAGTTGTATAATAAAGCTAAAAATGATAAAGGCCTTAAGATGTAACGATAAATTAAATTCATCTTTCAAGGTGTTTACATCCTTTATATTACCATTTTGAACTTTCTTTCTGTGTGTTTGATTGCGTCAGATTTTTAGTATTTGCTGGTTTGACACTGTAATCGTAGAATAAATCATCAGGGAAGAAGAAGAATTTATTCTAGCAATAATTATGATTTATTATCCAGTAAGTACACTGAACTAAAATGTGTTAAATATTTTTAAGCACACTGACATAACGAGTTATAGCAAGCACATCGAGGGGGAGAAATGTGTGAATTATTAGCTAATACTTGCATAATAAAACAGGCAGATTAAGGAGATGAAGTGAGTGAAAAGTTTACTTCAGAGTTTGCACAATTATATAAAATAGGTGTAGCAGATACTTGCATAACAAGTTATAGCAAGCAAATTTAGGGGTGAAATTTGTGAAAATATTTTATTAGTAATTGTACAGCTAATTGTATTACGTAGTTTGAAGGCCAAGATGTATAAATTATGGTTTTAAGCTATATTTTTAATCTTGTGATTTAAATGTTAGCTAAAGAGACCTGCGAATCTTAATGATGACACTAATATCAGATGGTTTAATAAGATAGGCCTGGAACATCCTAAGGATGTGACGTATAGTGTTCAAGCACATTATAAATACGAGATAGTTGTGAAATGTGGAGTTATTTCAAGATAGAGAGTTGAATCAGTTAGTGTGTATTCTTGAATTATTGGGATCTGTGTTTGCTATCGTAGAGAGTTGAATCAGTTAGTGTGTATTCTTGAATTATTGGGATCTGTGTTTGCTATCGTAGAGAGTTGAATCAGTTAGTGTGTATTCTTGAATTATTGGGATCTGTGTTTGCTATCGTACGCATTGAATTACGTTGATTTGTCTTGCGTTAGTAAACGTCATTTGTAGCATAGGCCTACAAGAAGATACAACGATGTACAAGTTTTTAAGCTTATAGAAACGTTAACGGAGGATATAGAGTTATCATTACATGGGCCGGATGTTGCATTATTTTCACTGGATAATTTAAAAGAATTTGCCAAAGAAAGAACAACATTACAACAATTTAGTGTCAGAACTGGAATATTATTTGGGAAAATAAAATAGAACTTTGAATATATTTGAAATAGAACTTCAACTGTTGACGATGAAGACCACGGGGTGAAAGAGCGAAAGCAAAGTGTTACTTGAGATTGAGATATTCTTAAGACAAGATAGGAAGAAAGAGACAAAAAATTGAAAGAACAGGACAAAAAATCCAAACAAGAAGAAATAAATAGGAAAATAGAAGAAGATCAAGAAGAAATTTTTTCAGAAAGATAAAAAAATTAAAAGGGACAGAAATTTAAGAGTGGAGTTAAAGGAAATAGAGATGTTATTTAAGGAAAAATTTAAAATAAGAAACAAATCCGATTGGCGACAAGATCGATAAAACTATTGAAGAGTAAAGAGAGAGAGAACACAACAAGTTTGAAGAAATGCAGAAAGACATCAGAAAAAAACCCCAGAAAGGTTGTAATGACAACTGAAGAAGTACAGCAACTGTGGTTATAAAAAAATTAATGAGGTAAAGAGTCATCAGTGAGCAATTAAAGAACATACGTGACAGAATAAAACGTCTGGAAAATGAATTAATAAATAAGAAGGGTACCAGTCTCGCCTCTTTCTGTATGGGCTTGGGAGTTCCAACCTAATACACCATCTACCTCCAAATATGAAATAAGAGAACTTTTATCATTACTGCTTTATCACCTGTTGCTAAAGGACCTTCCTGGACAACTTCAGCCAAGACACTACTAAATCCAGTTCTAGAACTTAGCTGGTCATTTCAACATCATTCAATAGAATAACCAACGAACTATGATGAGAAGGTACTGTGGGAGTCATACGAGGCTCAGTTCGAAATCATTTCCAGAGTGAACAACAAGCCATTCATCTTGCTGCTCATTAAAAAAAAAAACAGCTTTCACGACATAAAGTAATTTTCAAACTGAAATTTGTAAAAACTATCAAGCATTAGTTAGTCACCAAGCTCTACAGTTGGCGATGGAACTATAATCCATTGAAGTTGCAGAAAGTGAAATAAATCACCATCTAGATGGAAGTTATGGGATCAGAGTGTTGAAATATGAACTCCTGCTCACGTCAGTTTAGAAGAACTAAAAGGATTAGTTGGACAACTAGTGACATGGAATGGAGGCAATAAATCAAAAATACGATAAATGTTTCAAGTGCAATTTGAAAAGTCATATTGCTAATAACTACAGATAAAAGCTTGTAGTGAATTAAAAATTCTTCCCAAAGGATACCGGAAGGATAAACTGTTATAGTTGTGGGAAGCTGGCCATTACAGCCGAACCTATTGGGAATCAACAGTTGTTAAGACACCAGGGAGACAATGCCCTAAGGATGAATCTTCGATCCCAACAAGATCAAATGCTAATGAGACATGAGGAAACAAGAATCGGCTGGACTTATGGGGAAAGTTTAGCTGAGGATAACTCATCTGCCCTAAATGAGATAAGTTCACTACTTAAAGAAACCAGTCCTCGAGTCCTTGGGTTTATTGTTGGGAAGCCTTGCTGTATGCTGATCGACACTAGTTCTATAGTTGGACCCGATTTGGTAATGAAAGGTGTGATAACTGCCCTCAGGTATGAAGAAAGAAGAGAAAGTGATACGAACAGCATAATATTTCAGCAAAAGGAAAGTTAGAAGTTCCCTTTACTGTAGAAGAAAAAAAAAGAAAGAAAAGAAAAAGTTAAAATCTTGCATAAATATTTATTATATAACTAAGAATAAAACTTAGCTCCGAATGATAAAAGTGCAATTAACACCTATTCATTCTTTAGATTTTGTTAAAATATAAATAGGAGTATTCTATATTTTAGACAATTTGGTTTCACAATTTCTACAAATTATGTAAAAAAAACCGCGAATGTAACCAAAATCACGCAAAAATATCCTAACCTGGTGTTCACTTCAACATTGTTAAAATGTTATATAACAAAATAAAGCAAAATGTTTCACGAAGTAATCAACATTCTTCTTTTAATGATATGTTATCTTTTCTTTTTCGATTGATTACATCTTGAAACGTTTACTCTTTCTACCAGTCTGAAACTAATAAATGACATAATGCAATTTTTTCCCGTGGTTTACAAGTTTTCTTGTCAATTTACCATGAGAAAAGATTTTATAATATCATCGTTTCAGCTGTGGTGATTGGGTGGTGATTGGGACTAGGCGTAACGTAATTGTTGTGGTGATTGGGACTAGGCGTAATTTAATTGTTGTGGTGATTGGGGCTAGGCGTGACTTAATTGCTTGCATACCTAAATTTTGAATCATTGGGTTCTTGGTTCGCGTCCCGTTGACGCAAAATACCACTCAAACCTGTGCGCGCTATAAGAGCGACAGTCATATCTCGCTATTTCGGTCAAAAAAGAATAACCCAAGAGTTGGCGGTAAGTGCTACCGACCAATTTTCTTCCCTATAGTCTTTCATTTTCAAATTAGGGACAGCTATAGGCAGATAGTTCTCGTGTAGTTTGCGCGAAAATCTAAAAACAACAACAAACAGACCCACAAATTACTATTAGATTTGTTCTATATGCTCAGAGTTAAAACTATGTTAAAATACAACTTTAACATACGTAATGACAGGTCGTACTTCCACATCAAAGAACATCAGAAGTAACTATCTACGAGGAAAGATGTAGGAAGTCCATTGTGAAACCTTTACATAAAAGCGTCTTACTACTTATCTTAAAAGAGTTATTTCTAAGGCAAGTTATGGTTGACTGTAAAATCTTAAAATGAATTGTTAAAGGGACATTAAAACATGAAGAGACTCGAAGTTTCATAACCAAAGGCATTTCTGTTAGTTCAGCGCAGAACGTATAAGCAGTTTTCGGATTTTAAAGCCACGCGCGCAAGGCTGGGAAAGGTATTGTTAATTTGAAGCATTATGGGATATGGTTTGGAATGGTTCCTTGCAGTTTCGAGCATTTTAAAAGGTTAATGTCAGATGTACAGGAAAGCATCCAGTACTGGAGAATGGGGGGTTATTGAATAAATTCTGAATTGTTTAATCACTTCTGTAGGCTTGCGTCCGTGGCTTTAAGCTTCTGTGAATATTATTTATTATTAAATTTAAGATGCTTGATTCAGGATGAATTGTGTAGGTAGTGAAAGTGGTAAAAAAATCTTCTTCTATATTAGCGTCTTTTCGTTTACGGTGAAAGGGGTTGGTAAGGTTAACGTGTGTATATATTGGCTCAAACTAAACTGACTGTGTCTTCTATACAGGTCATTTCTTGCCACAACTACTCACTTTGCCATCCACTTTGACGTCAGAAATTAAAAATTGTTCAAATTTACGCCTTCTGGGGTGCCAGAATTTTAAATGCCCTTGTTGGGACCCCTGGTGACAGAAACCGGAAAGAAGATCAAATAGTTTCACCTATACAACTGTTTGCGACGTTAGAATGCTCTTATGCCGCTAGGGGGTCTTCTAGTTTTCCCAGATTCTTTATTATTAGCTTGGCTGGGAATTAAGTACTTAAAGAATGAGGACGCGGGTTAAGTGGAAGTCAAGGTAATAAAAAGTCAATTCTTAACCGTTCGTTTGACTGTTATCGAACTTTGAATATGTTGGAATAAGAACTTGTTTTCTTTAGGAAAGAATAAAAAAAAATCGAAAAAAGGAAGGAAAGATTTACTTTCCTATCGATATTGCCATAACCTGTACTGCCAATCTTCTAAAATGCTGTGAATAAATTGATTTTGAGATATTCGAAAACCAACAAATTTGAAAACAAAATTGCTATTATAATACATCCAAAATATTTAGGAATTAAGAATTCTTCTATGTTGGGCCAAATGAAGTATTCACATTAATAAGATGATATCATTATTTTTTAAAGATGAGTCTATATAAATATAATAGTATCGTCTGTTGTTTGTTGTATATCCATGTAACTACTTCGCAGGGTTTGAAATGGAAGTTCATTAGATCCATGCATTTTTTATCACTACTTCGACCCCTCTTGATGTCCATGCGGAGATACATGCAAATTTGGGGTTTCACATTTTGTATTTTGCGGTTTTTATGGGCATTTTTGCGTTTCTTACAATTTCATATAAGGGAAGCAACTTTTCATGTCCGAAAATATTCTTTCATTAATAATGAATTTACATCAATTCCATCCAGGGGACGGATACTCCAGCTAGTTATATATATATATATATATATATATTATTTCTTGTTAAACACAAAACTACACAATAGGCTATATTTGCTCTAACCACCACGGGTATCGAAACCCAATTTTTAGCGTTACAATCCCTCAGATTTGCCATTTATAATTGATATAATTGAGTAATAAGTCCATGCCATAAACAGCCTTTTTCTTTTATGTCAATTCTTCGATATTTTGAATATTGTATAAATCAGATGTGAAATTCTCAACAACAACAAAAAAAGTAGAGGTACTCAGTACCCGTGAGTACCGGCAGAATTTCACCCCTTGTATAAACTTGTCTACCCTTAACCATGAATATCTTTGCGTAATTAAACCCAACCGTTCTTACAGATCGTTAAGCTGTTGCTAAATCTGAAATAACGTTTTCGATTGACAGTGCAGAACGTGATTTCCAGCTTAGGTTTTCCACTGACACTTTTAGCTATTGCAAATGATTTATTCGTTGCCATTTTTCGCACCATGATAAAATGATATACAGTTTATTAGTTTCCTTACAGCTCGTTTATTCACCCCAACTCCAAGCGGCAGACGTCCCGTTCATTTCGTTATCGTTTCGGATTTTTTTTCTCCATAAATTTAAAGTAGTTGTTTTTTAAAGATTAGTTTATTAAGCTTCCCCACGAAAGTTAAACGTTTTATCACAATGTTCGTGATCCTCTCATCTCACGTGGCATTCAGATAGATTACAACTCATTTTAGCCGCTGAAATGTCTTTATTTGTAATTTATTCGATTATATTAATGGCGAGTGTCAGTTGTTCTTTAGCCTAACGTTTTTGTTGCTCAAATTAATTCACCTATACTATGTTTTGTTTCCACACACAATGACTGCATTCTATATTTCCTGTTAGTATTTTTACAGATGGATCAGACTTGTAATAAACTTTGAGACAGCCTTGTTTCCTACACAAGAAAAATTAATATAATTTTGAATGCATATTTTATATAACCGTCAGTTTCGTGTTTTAATGTTAAATAGCCGTCATTACGTAACGGTAAAGTTGAGGGTGTAGTAGACAGCGTCTTTCTGTCTATAAAAATAGTCTACCACCCAAGCCTATTTAATAATAGCATTTGTGTAACTTCTATCTCGATATACGTCATTAGCATGAAAATGTCCGCCAGTATGGTTCTTGCGTTTTTCTCGTGTATATGTTTAATATGCAGTACTTGAGTTGTAAAAAAATGAACAAGTGGAACGGTAAGGTTTGTTATCCAACTTGCGAACAGCAGTCTCGTGGGGAATGCGTGTGCTTGAGTAGTTTAACAACAGAAATGATTTGATAAAAAGAAAAAAAGTTCTCAACCGCGTTCCGCATCAACTCAAGTCCTGTTAATATGTGCACCCGGACTTTATATTTCGCAATGTTAGCGTAGTATATAGAGTTAGGGTTAACCTAAATATCTAAACTGAGATATTATTGGGATTATGGCTTAAAGTCTCGTTATCAGAGAGGGTACCAAACTAATGATTCAGTACAAGTTACTCACTGTAGGTTTTAATTTCCTACTTTTTGGCCCCTCAGTGACTTATTGATAAGTCTACAGGCTAACGACGCTAAAGATCTGGTTTCGATACAAGTGGTGGGCAGAGCACAGAATACCCATTATGAATCTTTGCGCTTTCAACCAACTTACTTTATTGAGTTATACCGTTGAGTATCTCAAGTCAGATTCTTATACAGTAATCTCTTTACTATTAGTTTAGGTGCTACTCCGTAAGTTATTCAACTTGTATCTGTAATTAGCTATTTTTGATTGGATTTTCTTAATAATAACCGTTACCCTAAACACAACCTTAACGGGTAAATTGGAACCATAAAAACCGATTTCGATCATCATTTGGAAAATTGAGCTTTTAGTAAGAAGTCGGCCAACAACTGAAGTACACACGCAAATACTATTCTCGTGAATAAATATTTTGTTCACTTGTATTTGCTCTCCCTTTCATGTCTATGTTAGGTTTATTCTCTACATAACACTTTCTGGACCTGCATTTTTGGAGAAAGTTTTGACTATCTGTCAGATATCAGTGACTTTGAGCAGCTGATAACAGAAATGCTATTTAATAACACGCTTCCGCTAGACGAGCACCCACTAACATGCTCCTCTTTAAGTCTTTCATATCCTTGCTCTTGTCCATTGTCGTATAGGCTAAGTGTAATATGACTGTGTTTCCGCATTAAATAAGCTGTCACTTCCCAAATTCATATGCACACTCAAGTATTTACAGTGTTTCTGGCGTGGGTGCTATAAAGTGTCCAATAGTGTATTTCACCACGCGCTTTTGTTACACGTTACGTTAACACGCGCCATGCCTTTAACTGCAACTTTAAAGTTGTTCAGCAAAATAAATGTTCTAAACATACATTTAAAATGTTTCTTATTATTATCATATAAGTTTACATATCCAAAGCTCGTTTATTGTACTTGTTTTACGAATAAATAAACTAGAAAATAGTCAAAAATTAAAAACGAAACTGAGTAAAAATCACATAAAAATATAGCATTTGGCTATTACAACTTTCTGAGTACACACTGACGTGCCAGTTTGGCTTCAGTGACTGATGAACCTTTGACGAGATTTTATTTGGATGACATTGATGTGTAAGTTGCGTGACTCTGGTAAAAATATTGATGCATAAGTTTGGCTTGTAGAACTATAATTAAACTTTGATGAAACAGTTTGGCTTTTATGACTCTCTCTCTCTGATAATATATTGATGTACAAGTTTCATTCTTCTTATTACTGCCCATGTTCTCACCAATAATGCCACGTGAGAACGAACAAGAGCTGAAATAACACGTTGGCATTTCCTACTCTCAGTTCATTAAGAAACATTAAAAGTCTTGGTGAAAGAGTCATTCCTTGACAAAATCGGTGCACAATATTATTCCAAAATACTAGAATGAATAATATAATTAAGGGGTCAAAATAAATAGTGAGGCAAAGTCTGATCGATGAGTGATCCCATTCCCTGATTATACAAGCCTGCGAATTTAAACCTAATAAAATTGTTTTGGTTTTAATAACGGAATTCAGCTCCGGAGATTTCGAAAATAATATTCGTTTTTTTAACACGTAAGCATTTTTTTACAAACCGTGAAGAAAGAAAAAACTCTTACTTAGATCAAATTATTATTTCATTTACCACAATGAAAATTTTTTTATTACTATGTTTGTTAACAAAAATACAAAAAAAAAATAAAGAAAAGGGAAGAACATTGATGTCAAACGAATATGCATCCTCATTCATCCTGATTTTGTGTGCGTGTGTGTGAAATCTGCGTCTTTTAGTCTCAAAACTACGTGTTGTGGTCTTTCTTTTATGTATTGCGTTATGACGTTTTATGAAAAATCTGTACGCGATGAAAAAAAATGTATATCATTTTCGGATTCGGCGCACAGGAATTATAGTAGAACATGTCAAAGTTTCAAGACAATAAAATCATCACAAGCCTTTGTTATTAATCAACTTTGTACTCAAGACGTACTTATATTAGAGACTAATGTTAGCTCATTTTTAGTGGAAATGGCGCGTGATCTCTAAAGGTAGAATAAAACTGACGTGCAAAGCTCCAACTTGGCAAATATTTGGCATTGTTATTGTACTCAAAACAATAAAAATCTGAAAACGGATTTCCACATTCCGTGTACATGTGTTTTTCATGTATAAATCATAGGAAGGCAATATTCTTCGTTTGTTGTAAAAAACAAAAATCTAACTCAACTCTATACCTTTCATTCCAAAGGATTGTGAATAATTTTCAGATGTAAACAGTGGGAATATACACTATTTGAAGCATATGAAATGGCCAATGTAATAACAGGGCAACAATGGAGCTTTGTAACATATTTATAGATATTTATTTTTGAGATTTTATTCCAAGGAAAAAGGTTCAAACTTTGGTAATTTTGATTGTTTGTTTCCTAGATGCATCTTGTATGCCACTTTTCGAATACTTATTAGTTATTGAAATAGCGAGACTAGTACCATTAGTTTCGGGTTAAAGTTGTTTATGTAGCAGTCTACTCAAATGTTAGTGTAGCTATCTAAGTTAAAACTGGCAATGAACAATTTATTCCACGATACCTCAAAATATCATTAATGTTCCCTAATGTAAAGTATGCAACAAATATCTCAAAGTTGTTAATGTAGTAGTCTAATCAAAGATTAGTACCTGATAACTCAAATGAAAGGTATTAACGTAGCAGGCTAATCGAAGATTAGTGCCTGATAACTCAAATGAAAGGTATTAACGTAGCAGTTGAATCGAATATTAGTGCCTGATATCTCAGGTTAAAGCTATTAATGTAGCAACCTAATATAAAGTATGTGAGAAATAGTTCAAGCTAAAATGATTATTGTAGCAGGCTAATCGAAGATTAGTGCCTGATAACTCGGGTTAAAGTTATTAACGTCAGTAACGTGCACAGCGGAGTGTATGGATGGGCTCAAACCCCTGCCTTCCTTTTCTTATGCCCCAAAAGTGTCCTTTCTGTCAGTCATAAAAAAAAAAAAGAAATTCACATCTACTAAAAGATAGGCCTGATTCCACACCTTGCTTGCTGCGAACTATTACGGAAAAAATATTTCAACTTTAAATTAAATGGACTTGTAGGTCTTTACAGCAAAAAGATAATTGTTATATGCTATTAAGTGTTAATACGGAAGAATCCACTGTTTAATTTTAGGTCTTAAAAGTGTTTATAAGACTGACTGAATGGGAATAAAAGATGATCTCTTTGTTTACCATGGCTTTCTACCCTATTTGTACCATTGGCAACCCACAGTGCTCATAATCCCCCCCCCCCCAAAAAAAAACAGTCTTGTCTTACGATGCTTGAAATATGCCATTTTTTCTGTCCCTGAACTCCTGCCATTTTAATGTCCTCTGCACGTTATTGATTAATGGCAGTCTAATCGAATCCTGATAACTCATGTTAAGGTTATTAATTTAGAAGTCTAGCTGAATATTAGGCCTGATGCCTTAGATTAAAGATATTACTGTAGTAATCCAATCGAAAATTAGTACCCATTACCTCAGGTTAAAGTTCTTAACGTAGCAGTTTAATCGAAGATTAGTGCCTGATGCCTTAGATTAAAGCTATTACTGTAGTAATCCAATCGAAAATTAGTACCCATTACCTCAGGTTAAAGTTCTTAACGTAGCAGTTTAATCGAAGATTAGTGCCTGATAAATCAGGTTAAAGTTATTAAAATAGCAGTCTAACTGAATCTTAAGCCTGATAACTCAGGTTCAAATTATTATTGTAGTAGTATGATCGAATATTTGGTGCCTGATACCCCAGATTAAAAAATTAATGTAGTAATCTAATCGAAGATTAGTGTCTAATACCTCAGGCTTGAATGATTAATGTAGCAGTCTAATAAAATATGTAACAAATGGTTCAAGTTAATTATTAATTTAGCGTCTGATCGACGATTATTGCAAGGTATTCTAAGTTAAAGTTAAGCATCAAATCTAAAATTAATGAATAGAAAATATTAATTTGTTTATTAGTCTTTCCGAGATGAAGAAATATTTACCTCCCGAACCAATATCTGCTTACTCAATAATGCTGTGTTGGCCACGTAGCACCTACACTTAGTAGTAATGCTATGTATTGGCCACGTAGCACCTACACCTAGTAATAATGTTATGTATTGGCCATGTAGCACCTACACCTAGTAATAATGCTATGTATTGGCCACGTAGTACCTACACCTAGTAATAATGTTATGTATTGGCCATGTAGCACCTACACCTAGTAATAATGCTATGTATTGGCCACGTAGTACCTACACCTAGTAATAATGCTATGTGTTGACCACGTAACGTCTACACCTACTAGTGATTCTATGTGCTTCTCACATACAGCCATAGAAGTTTTATTTATCTAATGATTATTCCGATATTCTGGGCGGATGCTGGAAACTTTTCGAATAAAAGTTTACGCTATATTTTGGTTACGTTTTAATAAAAAAGTGAGTTTTAGTTTTGTTTTCTAAATCAAAAGTTCCTTTCAGACTATTAACCCTTCGGCATGTAGGAGCTCTTCCGATAACAAACGAATAATTAGTTTCTTTGAGCTAAATCCACGAATCCGTGTTTTACCAGAAAATCGGTCTTATAATGCCCTTTTACATGTTTTACGATTGTTAGTCTGAATTTCTATTTCAGGAATTTGAGAAGGATGTATGGATCATAGGGCAGAGAAGAGAGTTATCTTCCTTGTGCCCTCGGGCTTCTAAGCCGTCCATTTACTTCCCACATAACGATTGCAGCCCCGACGACGCCAAAGACGTAAGAACTATAAAACGTGATTTTCGTGTTTCAGCAAAGTGAGATTTTCAGAATCCAATCGTTCTTTCTTTCTTTTTTTTAACTCTGTTTTCAGTGAAGGGAAAGTTAAGAACACGAATGCAGCGAACGGGCGACAGGCGAAGTACAATCATCATCCACGCTTACCCAGCTTTGATGGCCACTCTTATCAAAGCCGTTGATCTAGGGTCGTTTTGTAAGCTATAAAGTAAACACATGCTGTTACTTTTCCGACTCATCAGACGTACAAACAGAAGCGACAGGAGTGAGGCACGCGTCCTTACACAGTCTGTCTATCTGTTCATCGATCCGTCCATTTACTTATTCATTAAACAAAATGTCTATAATAGAGAACGGTGCTATTGTTAAATAAAACACCAAAAAATGTGAACATATGTTGAACAGGCAAATTTACACTTGAAAACACAATTGTTCACGGGATAAAAATAGTAACATATCCTTTACAAATATCCACGCCTTTCTTAACGGTGTAAATAGCCGTTTATATGTTATAATTAATTCAAAATCTATTATTTTCGATTATCTCATTTTTTTGCGATGTTAGCAGCTAGTTACTGATTCGTGCATTAAAAGACCCCTCAGTTTTAGCATTCGACGTAGCTTTTTATGTGGTAAACATCGCTTCTAAGCCTCTTATTTCACATACTGAGACCACCGTTTCTTTAGCGGCTGCAACATTAGTTATTGGACAAAACTAACACTAAGATAGTTTTTGATACACTAACACGATACTATTTATATAAAGGCTACAATAGTAGTATTTGGCACTAGGGGGCTGACACATCGAGCCCAGCCTGACCAGGTGGTTAGGGCGCTTGACTCGCAATCTGAGGGTCGCGGGTTCAAATCCCCGTCCCACCAAACGTGTTCGCCCTTTCAGCCATGAGGGTGTTATAATGTGACGGTCAATCCCACTGTTCGTTGGTAAAAGAGTAGCCCAAGAGTTAGCGGTGGGTGGTGATGACTAGCTGCATTCCCTTTAGTCTTTCACTGCTAAATAAGAGACGGCTAACGCAGATAGCCCTTGTGTAGCTTTGCGCAAAATTCATAACAAACAAACAAACAGAATTCTAAATTTCCATTCCAGTACTTTGGCAGAGGAAATGTAAACCCTAGCATTTATACTGATATTATCCTATATATATTTGACGGTGTAATTTTCAAGTATTATCCATTGATATTCATACTAAACCTCTTATTTCAGGTATTGTATGCCCCCCTCCAGAGGCGCAGTGATAAATCTGTAGGCTTATAACGCTACAGACCGGGTTTCGATACGTGTGGTGGACAGAGCACAGTCAGCGCATTGTGTAGCGTTGCGCTTAACACCAAACAAACAAATACTGTGGTCGCATTATACAGTTTTTGAATATTTTGCTGTTAATGAATTAGTATCAATCACCAATTACAACTACACGTTCGTCACAGAACTTTTACTAACACACTGTTAATTAAACGCCGTGGTACATCTTGTATTACAGTTTTTAAATGGCATAGTCTAATCCAAAATCTGTAGGTTTTCACCTACTTTTTATTTCTGTTTTTTCAACTGTGAAATATATGAAGTTGCTATTTTAGAGTTCAGTACATCAGTTTCATCTCTTCAAATTATTACTTGCCTGAGGTAGATGTTTAAAAATACAAATAACTTCACCCGAATTGGCATTGGTTAAGCCTCTGTAAAGACATTTTAAACTGGACAATCCGGAATCGTAAAAACCCTTTCGTGATTTATATAAGCTTCGCCCCCCCCCCCCGAAAAAATTAAAATATTTACCCTCAATTACCTCTACAAATGTTTGTTAGAATTATTCATATTGTAAGATAATTTATTATTTTTCTTCAACTTCTGCCTGGTATATCGTGAGTGCTGACATCTTACTATCTCGGACCATTAAAAATTCAGAGAAATATGAGGTAAAAAATTAGAGATAGCTCGGAGCGGGTTAATTATCTCTTGACATTTTTTTTTTTGTACAAAAGGGCCTATGTGTTTTTATTTATGTATATGTAATATAATTTCTAAAATTTCAAGAGCCTTAATTAAACACTGTCACGTGATCGTTCACCGAAAAAAAGTATTTGAGGAACACCTTCCGCATTCCTTTTTAAAGGAAGAGTGATCCACACACAGTTCTTCCATCAGTTGTTGGATCGTTTGTAACAAGAAACCGGTTGTTGTTGTTAGCTTTTCGGAAACATTATTTCTTAAAATGAAAACAAAAAAGGAAACTGAAACCTTCAATGGTAACACGTAATTTAATCTGTAATATTTATTCACCTGTGATTAATTGTGTGTTTTTAAAATGAGCGAGATTGTTGAGTTAAATAATTAAGCGTTTTGAATGAAATATTTCAAACGCGAAAAAGAGTTAAGCATTTTTAATGAAAGTTTTTGTAAAATGCTTTCGTAAATAATGTCCTAGAACTATAATCGTTGGCAATAAGTTCTTATATTTTATATTTTAATATATATATATGTTAAATATATCACATTTTACCTATTTCTAATATTTTTTATACGGATGATTTTTATTTTAGTTATTACGAATGATCAAATTACAGTGTATTTAAATCAAGTACGTTTCTGTTTATTCTGAAGTGACGTTAATTCGCAGGTTATGCACATAACAATTGTGGGTTATGTCATTCCTTTGTAAAACTGTTGAGTTCTGAAAGACCTTGTGGTTGCGAACCTTTTTGAGGAACATGATTTAAAATAGTGGTAAACAATAATATGTTGCGTGTGGCTAACTATTCCGTAGGGTATAGATAAATAACTTACTGGTTGATATGACATGGTGAACATTCCTAGCAACGACAGTGGGTGGCCCTTTCTGTTTCGATTAGCCACGGCTTGCTTAGTACAGACTAACCTTTGATTTCGGCTGTACAATAAGCCCTTCTGTCACACATTGAAAGCTGGAATGCCGACTGTGTCTCTGTTGCCAGAGGTTGTTCATGAACAGCAATCTTAGATCACCTAGGGCATAAACTTACCTTGGTAGTTTGAGCAGCTTTCCATGTTACCACACCACTCTCTCTCCCTGGTGCATTATCTAGGGATTTTGACTTTACTGTTAGTTCCCTATCGCGTGCCATCTTATTGTGTATTTTGTGTCTGTTTGAGAGATGAAAATTTGCTTTTTGGTGTTTCAGAAAAAGATTAGCACGTGAAACTTGAGCCTTCTAAACTCTTTTATTCTATACACTGGAAGAGCACGTGGAACCATTTTTATTGTATTTGTGAAAGGTTCCTCTTCAGCTTGCGTGGTTGTTTAATATTTTTCCAGAATGAC